GAGGGAGAGTAAAACTTTTAGCTCATACAATAAGACTTTTAAATAATGGTAATTAAATATCATTTTTAAAAAATCTTTCACATTCCTTTCAAATAACAAATTTATCTTGAGGCATCAGTTTTGATCTCAGGCATGGTTTGTATGAAATGTATTTAGGAAAAAAGCTTAAAGAAGTCAGTCATTGTCAATACCGGGCAAGATTCTGCAAACTGTATCTTCTAGCTATACTTTGAAATAAATTAAGTAATTCATTATTGTTTCTGACACAAGAGAGTAGCACGTTGTTCTAGGAAACCTAAATTACACAAGTACAGTGCACTTCACAGTGCAGTTTTTGAAAAAAAGTTTTTTTTTATTTTCCAAATCAGTGAGAAAAAAAAAAAACGAATATCATACAATTTCTACAACGTTAAAAGGACTTTGAATGATATGCCCATAGATACCATGTTAGTTAAAATCTAATATTCACTGAAACTGTGTGAACACCACAAGTACCTACCAGCCACAAGAACCAAAGCAGAATTATTCATTTATCTGTGGCTATCATGTAACAAGGAAATTTAGCAACATTGCTTCAGAAGCAACAGATATTAAAAATTCAATAACGAGTAACTATGTCTTAGTGATACTACTTTTTGTCCATTTCAATGGAATCTGGAGCAATAAAGCTGACACCAGCTCCAAGGCTTGATCTCCTCAAAGATAATTCAGAGGGAGGGATATGACGTAACTCTCTCCGAGATAGTTTTACAGGGGTTACTCCTTGAAACTGTGTTACAGTCTCTCTTCTGTGGATGACAGAAGGTAGGAGAGAATGAGGCTTTGAAGGCTGAGTTTCATCTTCTAGTCTGTCGTCAACAGTGCTTGACAAGCACTCTTTGTTGCATCCAAATTCTGATACGTCTTCTCCAAGCTTGTACGAATTCTGCTGTGCCCTTAAAATATTTGTTCTCTCTGCTTCTTTTATTTTTCCTGCTTGACTACAGGGTTTCAGCTTCAACTCTTCAGATGCAACTTCTGCTTCATCTTGACTGGATGCCTTGTCACCAGCCTTGTTATCTAAAACCAAATTTATCAGGAGATATATAAGTAAAAGACCAACTCTTCTGAGTACCTGACATCAGGAAAAGTTAGTGAACTGGTATGGTTTTACACTGTGTAAACTGTAGTGTGAAGGTCATCTAAAGTCATATTAATCTCACTTTTTGTTACAGAATAACAACAGTGCAGAAGTGGAAAGGACCTCAAGAGATCACTGAGTCCAACCCTCCTGTGAAAGCATACATAGGTCACACAGATAGGTGTCCAGATGGGTCTTTAATATCTCCATAGAAGGAGATAGTCTCTCTGAGCAACTTGTTCCTGTGCTCTGTCACCCTTACCATAAAGAAGAACTTCTGCATGTTTGTATGGAACTTCCTATGTTCAAATTTTAGGCCTTTGCTCCTTGTCCTAGGTGACACATCACCGAGAAGAGCCTGGCCACATGTACCTGCCTCCCATCTACCTTTGGGAATCTATAAGCATTGATAAGAACCTCCCCTCAGTCTTCTCTATCCTGGGTTGAACAGACCAAGGTTATTCAGTCTTTTCTCATACAGGAGCTGCTTCCGTCCCTTTATCATCTTTGTGGCCCTCCACTGGACTCCTTCTAGGAGATGCCTGTCTTTTTTGAACTGCGGAGCCCAGAACTGGACACAGTTTTCTAAATGTGGCCTCATCAAGGCAGAGTAGAGGATGGCCATGACCTGCTGGCCAGGCTCTTTTTAATGCATCCCAGGATACCATTGGCCATCTTGGCCACAAGGGCACACTGTTGGCTCATGGCCAACCTGTTGTCCACCAGAACACCCAGGTCCTTCTCTGCACATCTCAATTCCAGCAGGTCATTCCCTAACTTATACAGATCATGTAGTTAATGCTCCCCAGGCGCAAGAGTCTACATTTGCTCTTGTTAAACCTCATCAGTTCCTTTTTCTTTAAAAGTTTGCCATCTACAAAAACATCAGAGGGGGTTGCTTTCCTCTCACTCCATTACTTTCCTCTGACTCAATGCCTGTAATACAAGCTTCATGATTCTAACTTGCAATATAGGCAGTCTTAAAACAACTCAACCATGACTATTTGTGTTTTCAAAAGCAGTTTGCAATTACACTAATAGAACATAAAAGTCACATTCTGCGAATAAAGTCACATTCTGTGACTTTAAGGTACATGGAAGTTTTAAATTATTTTTAAAGTTCACCAACAAGTTTTTAAAATTACATTGTATTATGGCTCAAAATGTATTCATATAAAAAGTAACTAAAAATAATAATACAAAAATACAGATCACTCCTTACAAATGTTGCAAACATAAGTATTTGTAAAAGTTGGAAATTCAAAGGGGTCTTCCCTTCCCTTTTGCACTTTGCTACAATTTGGTTAGGATGTGTCTCTCTCCTCAGGGAAACATGTCCAGAACTACAGGCTTCTTTGTGAATTGAATACAGAATTATATTTCTCACGCGCGGTTATAATGTAGCCTCACATCATCACAGTGTACATCAGAGTAATTAACCTCATTTTGCTTTGGGGGCTGGACCTGAGAACAACATATGTGATCAATATCTGTGGTTTAGAAGACATAGCATTATCTGAAGTGGAAAGCAACAGAAGCATCAGTTGAGAGGAAGACCCAGTTATACTGAGCTCTGAAAAGGAACACAGAGCCATTGTGCATGTGAGGTGTTGGTGGTTCCATTGTGAGGTGTGAAATATCTAAATTAAATCTTTTTTTCCTCATCCTCTCAAACAATGTTATTGATACTTGTTTTTGGTTTTTTTTGTTGTTTTGTTTTGGTTTTGACAAAGCACAGAAATCACATTAGAAAGGTTATCTTTTTATTACAAATGTCTTTTAGCGTTTATAAAGAGTACTTTTTAAGTTACCTTTGAAAGAATGGAGCTCCTCACGGACAATTAAGTAACTTCCGAATAAGTAACTTCTGTGAAATCAAGTGCTAGCAGCAGAATTAAGTTAATTAAGGTCTTAAAATACTGACATCTGAGGTGTGGCTCATGCTACAAAGCTGTTAACTACTACGTCATTCACAGTCACTCAGACAGCAAAATACCATTTTCTTCATCACAACAGTGATTAATATATATTAATACATATAATTGCTGAAATTATACTAGAATACAGAGAAAAGTGAACAAGAATGTAGAACACTGATTGATAAATACCAGTGCTGCATTTACAAGCCAAAGTCGTCTCTCCTTTGAAACTGGAGGAGATATAGTATATTCCTGGAGAACAGTTAGTTCAGTAAAAATACAGTTTTTATGTCTGTCTGATGTACATTGTGTTTTCACAATGCCTCAGGTGGTCTATGGACAATTGCAAAAGGATCTTAAGACAACGTACTTACATTTAGAGGGTGCGAGTAGTTGGTGGGATGACTCTCCAAGGAAGCTTTTCAGTTTCTTCTTCAGCTCTCTGCTGGTTGTCTTGTAGAAAAATAACTCCTTTTCCAGTTGCTGTACTTTCACTTCATACTCTTTCAAGGTTTCTGCAATACCTTCACCATCTTGTTCTAGGATGAGTAAAATTAGTCTCAGAATGAAACACCTATTCCTCTGTGAAAAAATCAAGATGCCCAGCTAGATAGAATATGTCCTGCATCTTGCTGATACATTGCTTTCTGTGTGTACACGTAAACTAGCATGATAAAAAAGCCACATCAACCTCATTTGTAATTTTAATAGGAGTATTTAGAAAATAAAGATTGATGGGGATTTCAACTTTCCAATATCAGCAAAATCAATATGAAAATATGACATTCTGATAGTTTTTTTTAAATACTGTTTTTTCTTTTATGCAGGCACCTTGTGTCAGCTCACCAGCATTGGATATAATAGAATGGTAACAGACAAAATGTATCCTTGTACGTCAGATAGGGTTTTTTGTTGTTGTTTTGGTTTGGGTTTTTTTTTTTGGTCTGTTTTTTTTTTTCCCCAGTGAAAATACAGTATTTCTCAATAGCAGCTAAAGATAATGCTTACTGTACCACCCCTCTTTGAAAACAAACAAGCAAACACACACCTCTGAAATGATGCAGTATCAATTGTAGTTTTTTCTCATGTTCTTTGTGTTGTAGAGTTAGCTGCCTATCACATTGCAACTTGATGTGTTCAAGCGCAGATTCTAATTCACGTATTATATTTTCCTGTTCTATGACCTTCATTTCCTGTTCTTCAGTCTGCAGTTGTAACTTACGTTCAGTCTCACGCAGGCCAACAATCTAAGAAAGAAATACATTTCATTTATCTAACCATTTTAAGAAAAGCATTTACAGTTCTGCTTAACAGGCTAGTGCATACAAAAGCAATTGTCTCTATGAGCTGTGAGCTTATACTGAAAACAGATTTACCTGGTACTACAAGTTCATTCTTCAGAAAGAAGCTCAGCACATTTTGATCACATGGAGTAGCAGATTTTTTAATGCTCTGTGCAGAATTTAAACTGATATAAAAATTATTTCCTCTTTCTGGAAAACTTCCAACTTGTGTACCACCCTCAGACAACTTCACAAAACCACCTAAGGTTCATCCAATATCACAAAGACACACCACGTCCTAGCGTATTTCATTTTATTTCCAAATATCTGATTCTTGGGTCTGTGCACGTGTCTGTAAATAACATGGTGTTTGCAGAGATTTAATACTGAATTTGGGATAAAAAAAACAAACATCCATCCCCAAACTAGCTTGAACTTTACAAAGCCTACAGGTGGGAACAATTTTAATATGACACCAATATTCAAGCATATTTGTACTTGAAAAGTTAGCAATATAGAACAGTGGAAATTTCCAGAATTTAAAGGCCTTTTAATCTGGTGACTTCAAAACGAGATATATGAAGTTAACAAACAAGCATCCTATTTATATTAATGTAAAGATTCAAAATACCTTGAGATGACAACAAATGTATGTAGCCTGAGTGGACTTTCATGAAAAGCTTGTTAAATTGATTTTTGCTACTTGACACCATTTCATTTCAATAGCTAGAACAGTAACAGATAATCAGATAAAATATTACTCATTAGCCAATGCATACCTTATTAAAATATCTGAATAGGATAGCTCTAAGTTCAGCAGCAGACAAGGAAACTAGTTTTCCTATTATGTTATCCTCACTCTGTGAAAGGATTTGTGAAGAAGATCTAAGCAAATGCTGTCGACTCTGAATACTTTCATTCTTGTAATCAATAGCAGCCTCCAGGGCTTCAATTCCTTCTTCTAATTGGAAAAGGATATGTTCCTCCTGCAGAGAAACATGGAGTTAAATCTTCTTAAAAAGTACAAGTTTAATCTTTGTATACATAAGACATTAACTTCATTCTTAAAAGTGAAATGAAATTTAAGAGCAAGGCAAACTAGTAGCAGTAGTACAGAGAATGGAATGGGAAAAGTAAGAGGAAGAATATAAATCTAGAACTTGTTTTTTCTTCTGTCCTCCAGAACAAATATTTCAAACAATTGATTTATCATCATAAAAGCATATATTTTATCCTCCCTTCCTTCTCCCTCTCCACAGTCTGACTTCCACTAATATTTTTTTGGTTGCACCAGTTTTCTGTCAGATTCATGAATGAATCAAATAAGTTAGGAGTTTTGTGACCATGAACTGTTCAAAGAAGTGGCAGAATTGAATAGCCTGAAGCACTGCCAAAGATTCTGTGGAGTGAGATAAATAGGATTCTCTTCAGTACATCACCAGCTCATACACAGGCCCACACTCCTTTTCACGACATAAAGCAAATCTGCATATTTTATATAAATGTATGCTATATCTTCAACTTAATTCTACCGATAACTGTAGTATGGAACATCCACGCAATAAGGTTTATTTTCACTGAGATTCTATGGAGGCCTTCAGGTGAAGTTTGCTTTTTCACAAAATTCCTTTAAGAGAATCAGGGAATATCACAACTGGAATACTTTACTTTGTCTATGTCCTGACATTATACTAATTGCTTAGGATAAACTGATGTAGGTCCAGTTCCATTACTTCTAATTTTATAATCCCTAGGATAGTGGAATTTATCAAAGCAATAGGTAAAGTCTCTCTGAATATAAACTTCAGCTTGTATGAAAATAGCACTACATAGCAGTATTTTAGCATTATTATTAACTGAAATACCAAACTTCAGTTCCCTGGTTCTAGCTTACCTACCATTGGGAGACTTAAGCCATGACTGGAATGTTTTATTACTACCTAAAAACCTATAAATTTATTTCAGGGTTGCCTACTTACTTCAGCTGACAACACTTTACCCTCTTTCAATTTCTCATCCACACTATTTCTTCTTGTGAGCAGCTGATCTCTTTCCTTCTGAAGAACCTGGATTTTTTCCAGAATGTCTGTCCTGTCTTCAGTAGTGCTTTCCTGAAGCTGCATACTTTTATCACACAATTCCTGGTCCAGCATACTTAAGCGAGAAGACAATTTCATACTATCTTTATTTAAAGCCTAAAAAATACCCAGAAACAATAGGTATAAAATTGAGACACTCCTTCCAGAGGAAACAAGTATGAGTCACTTTCCACAGTAAAAGGCTTGCTTCTTGCAATGGGACCCCATACAAACTGAGTAGACAGTTATAATACAAATTACCTAGAAGGTGAAACAAAACCACTCAAATGTGCAGTTTTCTATATACATTAAATGAGTTTGATAATTATACTTAAATTTCTATTTCTTTTGCAATGGATAAATAAACAATATGAAATTTATCTACCATGTTCTCTAGTTTGCAGAAAGATTAAATCATTTTTGGATTTCATTATTTAATGATCTGTAACAACATTACTCCAGTATTCAATTTTTTTTGTTTTATTGTTGGAATCTGGGGACAAAATGTGAATAAAAGTGATTGTTCTGTATTATTCACATTTAAAATGTTGATTTGCTCAAGTCACACCATAATTTAATGTCACTGCTAGAAGCTCAAGCCACATGGCTTAAACCTCTCCTATTATCTGGTTGCCTTCCTTCTATAGTCTTTCAGTCAGCGCTACAATTGTGATGAGTTTCATGTCTTTTTCTTAAAATTACCTGGCTAGATCTCAGTTTCCTGATTTCTAGGTGGCTTTTCTCTTGCAATAGTGCTTCTTTTTTTGCTACAATGGCTTCTCTTTTCTTTAAATCTTCTTCTAGTTCTGCTAATTGTCGGTGCTGTTGGAGAATTCTTTCCATTTCTTCGTCCAGCCATTTCTTTTGCTCTTCTAATTTCTGTAATTTAAATAGGGATACAGGAAGCATTAATGGGGACTTCTTGGGTCAGAATTTTATGATTCTGTTTTTTCACCTTTTAGAGTAACCAATAAACTATATGAGGAAATGACATTTCTAATCTTAACATTATATCTGCAACAAAATTTTGATTCTGGATAATAAAAAATTGGGCTGACTTAAAAGGAGGCTCAGCAAAGTTATATTGCTACATCTTATTTAAACAGTTTTTTACCAGATGTTTAATGAAAAACTCTTTTCCTGTGATCTGATGTATAAATAAGTGCCTTATATCTAAAGAGACCAACTCCGTTTGGAAAGTACCACGAGAATTCAGCTAGCCCTTTCTCACTCCATTATAGTTGCCCCTTGGACCAATTATTTGAGGAAAGACATTTAATGAAGAATCTAAAATGCTGAAAGACAGAAAAATGAGAGTTCTGATCCTGGACAGAGAAGTTCCTTCTGAAGTAATAGCCTGTCAGTGGGTACAATACATGTATCTCTAACAAGCTACCATTATTTCACTTTGTTTTAAAATTTATTTTCATCTTTAAGGGCTTTTTATAATTCATGAAATCCTCATGTCCCCGTGTCCAGATCTGAAATAATGCAGGTAGCACTGTTGCAGAGAACACCTACTAGTCTACCAGACTAGAGATGAATAAAGATAATTTTTTTTTAATTTTCAGCACCCACACTGCCTTAGAGAATATTAGCTACCTCTGACTTCTGTGAAGCTCCTGCAGAGTTGTTATTCTTTTTAAATGCAGCAATCTCTTTATCTTTAAGTGTAAGAATCTCCTGTTGTTGTTCCATCTTAAGCTGCAGTTCCTATAAATAAACAAATAACAAACAAACAAACAAACAAAACCACCACCAACAAAAAGAAACGCAAAAAAATTATTTCTGCCTCAGTCAGCCTGTTTTTAAACGCATTCTATGGCAGATTCTACACAAGTATGTAAACTGAAATATCAACCCTAAATTTATGTGTAAAACTGCAACTCGAGGCTAGACGTCACACAATAGCATTTCTTCAAAAAAGCTGAGGAAAAAGGTGAATAGAAGATTTCTGTCAAAATATTTATATGCAATTTCTTTAGTGAATTTGTCAGTGAAGTGATTACATAAAACTACTTAAAATCTGGTAGCATAGTGCATTGTTTTGGGGAAAATAGAGGCAAAATTGGCTGATCTCATTCTTTGTTACACAGAAACAGAAATAGTCCTACTTTAATTTGTTGCTGGTCTCGCTGAATCTCTGTTTCTAGTTGCTTCTTTTTTTCACTCTCCTCATGCAGTCTTTTCTCTAGCAAGGTCTGCTGATGCTTCATCTGAACGATGTTCTGCTCAAGTTCTGTTGCTCGTTTTTCACTTTGGTTAGATAACGAAGCCAGTTTCTTAGAATCTTGCTTCTTTTTCTGTAAGGCCTGAATGTTCATGGCAAATTTCATCTTAGTAGCAAGAAAACTTAGAACTGTAATGTGACTCAGGTTTATTCTTTATTTCACTGAGTTCAGACAGTCACCAAGACTTACTAAATTTTACCACAACAATCACTCATTATTTCTGTGGTTTCTAAGCCTTCTGGTAAAATCAGGAAAGGCAGAACTAATCTGAAGCAGCACGAAAAGGCACAGATACAGTTCATACTTGGTAACACAGTGAAGATAGTGAACTCTTCCAGAAGCAACTGCTCAGGATAACGTGCAGAGATAAGAATGTTTATCAAGGTTCTGGTCCTGAACTCAGGTAAATAAATCAGTTAGAATTTGATGTGCAGTGCTTGCCTGGCCCGCCATTCTAGGACCAAGAGGCATGGAGTACTTAAGCTGGCCCACAAAAGAACTTAAAATTAGTTACTGGAAGGTATTGAATCTGGTATTACAAACACATAATCATAAACAATCATGATGACTTGTTCAAAGATAGAATTTATACACTATTTCCAGAAAACAGAAATTTTATTTACAGCAGCTAATAAATTTGAAGTAACCTACTTGCATACATTCTTGTATGACAGAGTGCTATCTAAGTATTTAATACCATCCAACTCCTTTTACCAGGAATGTATCTAACTACATATTTGTTAAGTAGCATTAAGTATAACTGTACTAACATTTTCATTGGCTACTTCAATCCAACCAGCTTTAGCTGTGTAAGGCTGGTGAGAATTTCACAAGCAGAGAGTTATTTTAAAGATGATATTTAAACAGGCATTTGTAAATCCTAATGGTCATGTCAAAAATACCTGCACTTTCAACTTAGCTGCATCCATCTTCTTCCGGAACTCTTTTTGTAACCTGGCTTTCTCTTGAATGTCTCTGACCTCCTTACTCTCCAGCTCTTGAAGCTGCTGTTGTGTTTCAGCCAGTTCCATTTTGGCCTGCTCAGATTCTTGCTCCAGCTTAGACATCTTCAGAGTATATTGCCTGCTTACAGACTGTGCATCCTTACCTTGAACCATAGTTTAAGAACAGCAAGATAATCAGTTGAAATTTCTTAATTAAACACGTAGTTAATCATTATTTACTTCATTCTGGTTAAACTGAAAATTTCTGAGATATTTTTCCAAACCTAATCAAACAATACCTTTATAATTCTGAGACAGAGATAAACAAAGGAATCTTAAATCTGAATTCTTCAATAAGTCATCTGATGTCCAAATAAAGCACCATTTAAGTGCCAAATAAAGTTCTTCTGCCTATTTCAGTCTTGGACAAAATGTCTACCCTGTTTTTCATAGATTATTGATTTTCTTTTTCCCAGAAGATTATGCTGCTTATTTATTGCTCAACTTCCAAATTGGTAACCAGTAAACAACTTTGGATTGTATTTCTGCCCTCTAATTTCCCCTGTTTGGGCAATCTTCCTCATGGTATGATTTTTTGGGGATACATACTTTCTGAATGCTAAAAGACAGCCTTGAGAGAATTTGTACACAGGAGAAGAGTGTGATTAAAAGTAGTAAGGAGAGACCCTTAGGGTCTTCATAATGCCTGTTTCTACCAGGTCAGATTAGCTTAATGATATAAGCTAAAAGGGACACTAACCTTTTCCACTTCTGACTCCTGCTTCCCTACTGCCATGATGGGAATGCATGCATTCCCTGCACAGTGTCACGTCTTCTTTCCTATCCCAGACACCATGTAACAAATACATGCCACAAAGCAATTAGCAATTCTAAGCTTATATGGAAAATTACACTGTTAGTGCATAAACTGACTAAGCAGCAAAGCATAAAAAATATTCAACACAGACATCAGCATATCATAGCAGAGTAGGCCATAATAAAAATTTACAGCCTTCAATGCAGTTATAGCAAGTAATCTATGTAAGTTACGAATTTTCAAGTTACCAGAAGTATTCTTGCATAGGAAAATTATATACATATTATGACATACAGGATGTCAGAATTTTTTCTTCTTTTCTCTTTCTTATTTCTGAATGTCTTCATTTCATTTTGTCCACCAGTAGCCACTTACCTGTTCTTACCAATTCCTTAATAAGTTCCTCCTTCATTTTGATATTAAGTGCAAGTTCTCTAATTTTCTGCTGGGCCTCAGTGAGTCTTAACTCTGAATTCTTTAACTTCTGCATGTTGAAAACATGACTTTTCTGGAGGCTGTCCATCTCTTCACCTTGAAATAAACAAAGCAATGTGGAAATGAAGGAAGAAATGGAACATACTATTTTTCAAAAAGAGAGTGCTTTGGAATACTGTGTGTGTAGACACCTAGCATATGAAGTGAAAGATCCAAATGGAAAGAATAGTGCAAATAGCCTTTTCCCTGCCATAGTTCTAAACAGAGAAAGAAACAATAGGATGCATTAGCACTTCAAGACCCTGATTAGAAAGTAGAATAGTATTTAAACCTTTATCTGATAAAATAACAGAATCATTTCCTTTCCTTGAATGAGCACTAGAGATTTAATCTAAATAGCTCTTGATATGTGAAACACTTTCTGACCATTGAGAATTATTCAAACATTAAGGTGACTGCTGTCAGTTTCAAAAAGAAAAGAAAAAAAAAATCTCAAAATATGTTTATGTTGAGCTATATCAAAAAATATTTGTATCAGACATATATTTTGTGGGAAAAATAATTAAATGTGATAAACACAATTTTGCATATTACAATGTTATAATATCTAATTTGATTTACTCTCATAACTTCCATCTTACCTGTGGGTGTGTCATTCTGTAGTGCAGATTTGTTGGACAAACTGGAATTTTCTACTTGACATTTCATGTCAGTTAGCTCAAAGGGAAAGCACAGAGCTTGTTTTCGTGTCCATGTGCGATTTATTGAATGCCTAAGGAAGAATGGAAAACATGCATTTCAAACACAAAGGATTATTTTTTTTCTGTTAGCTTCATGCTAATTACTCGACCTTAAAAGAGAATACCAAACTGAGAAAGTTCACATAAGTATCTGTACCTTTCTCCTCCCCCTCTAGATATTTTTGGTGAATTCTGGCCCAAAACAGAATTCATGCGATCTTTATTACATTAAAAAATAAATATACTTCCTAAACTAATCTTTGTAACATGCCCAGCTCATCTCATAAGTTTACTTTAAGTAGCCTCAAAGATGGCCTCACATTCTAGTAGGATTAGGCAGTAGCATTTCATCTGTTGTACAGCGGTCTGTAACAAAAAATAAAGAACAAAAAATTACTTAAATGAGCTTTTCTGTTTACTATGTGTATTTTCTTCCTCTCCATCACTCTCATCAGAGAGGTGGCAGCGAAGAACTTCATCTTGATCTTCTATGCAGCTCAGTATCATCTGGCTGCGAGCACGGAATCCCGCCATCATCCGAGCCAGGGAGAAGGCAGGGGGACTGGTATATACCTGCCAAAAACCACCCAAGAAATACTTGTAATAATTTAGTAACTCATTATGATATTCCAATAGTTTTTCATTTTGGCAGTCTCTCACTGCCTGAGTTTGTAGGCAAGATTACAGATGTTTTCAATAATATTTCTGAATTCCTTTGTAACAGAAGGTTCTTCAAGTGTTCAGAAAAATTGCTCTAGTTGCAGAAGAAGGTGCCAGTATCAACTAATTATCCCAAATATTCAATGAATAAATGCAGAATAATCATTGAGTTCTGCTTAGATTTCATATGTGAAGCCTCAGAAATCCCAGAATAAGACCAGAAAATACTACAGTTTTATCATTCTGACAAATTTTGAAAGTTTTCAAAATCAGTTTAGATGGGCTCTGAGCAAGCTGAAATTCTGAAAGTTGTCCCTACCAACGGCAGGGGGTTGGACTACGCAATTTTTAAAGGTCTCTTTCAACTCTAGCCTTCATGATTCTAAATGCTAGCCCGTACATTTTGGACAGTTGTGGCATACAATCTGCTGCAATGTTAAAAGCTGTTATTCAGAGTCTTCAGTATGGGAAACTGAACAGCAATTGACTGTTATGTTTAATCTAACTATTGAACTATAACCATTAAAAAAAATGTAACATTTAGGCAGATCTTACCTTTCGGGTCTCTGTCCCTGAAGGTGGGTGAAATGAGTGCAGCAGGCTCTTTGTAAGTGGGACACTGTATGGCCTCCTTGCAGATGCCACAACAGCAGGTTCATCTTCACAGGCACTTGAGAAGTCCAGCGTTTTCACAACTGTAAACTTCTCCAGTTTTTCTTTTAGCTGATCAATAAGGATCTGCTGTTCCACCATTTTCTCATTCTCATTAGAAAATAAAAGCAAACAAACAACAACAAAGAAAAGCAAAACTGTTGAGCTGTTGCTGATCATCAGGTTACATAATACTCACCTTTTCAAAATTCATTACAAAGGTCAAGAATCCTGTCAATTGCTCATTGACCTTAAATTCTTCTGCAGTGCACAGCCAAATTCTGCAACAAGCTGAAAATTATCTGGCATATCATTAATGTTACCTGCTTCCAAACTCTAGCAAATGCTGTTAGAGATATTTTTGTTTAGAAGGACCTATCCTAGTTAGGTTAAGTTAGCTTATCCAGTCATCTAGTGAGAAGGCGATGACATGCTTATTAGTCCCAGACTGCTTTATTTATGTGTTTATGAAGAAATAAAATAGTAATTCAAGAAACATGCTCAAAAGAAACATATGGTTCAAGTTTAAACAATTAATTGTGCACAGACTTCCTCTTCAAGCAGTCTTACTTTAAAGATTACTTTTATTAGTAAACAAAAGCATACATAACCCAAGAGACCAACTACTTCATTCTTTCCTACCCAACTTCAAATGTTTGGTAATACTAGTTTGAAAAACTTAGTCATCTGCCTTTCCTAGAGCAGTATCTGCACATTGTTCAAAATTACTTATCTCCACTGAACTATTTCATTCAAGAAGGCCAAGATTATATCGATTTTCAACTTCCTTTATTCTTTTTAGAATACCTCTAAAATCTGGCCTACCAAAAACAGGAAATCTGAAGAATAGCTGGTGATAGTCAACCAAATGTATGCATTCTCCTACTTTGAATTATATATTTTTTGTATTATCATTTACATCTGGTTGTCTTAGGCTGAAAGTTCTTTCCACGTACATAAACAATACTCTACAAGTTGACATTGGAATACAATGAATAATATTCTTCTGTCATAAAAAATAGAATATACATACAAATACCACACATTTTATGATTCTGGATGAAGTAAACGCCAATTCCACCTTGCAGAGTTTTTTCTGTTTGCTTGTTTGTTTTTAAGTCTTTTAAGATCCTTTATCCCCGCTACCCTAGTACTATCTCAGCACATCACATGTTACATAAACATGTATGTGTATAAATATTTACAACATGCTACATTCAGTTCTTACTCCATGTATCACTAAAATGCACATTCCTGTGAATACAACTTCAAACCATTTGCCTCAAACACTTGCTTTTAATTATAACACTGTTTTTTATATGTTTTTAAATAAAAACATCAGTTTAGTGGATTAAGTGGTGGCTGGGAGTTCTCAGCGTCTTTCTTGTCTCTAGTACTGAAACAGTTGTCGTTTTTTGCCTAAAATGCAGCTGTTTCTATGCATAAATTCTATCTTGCATAATTGAGAATTAATATTATAAGCACTGGCACTATGTTGAGTGGGTTAAAAAAAAACAAAAAACCTATTCAGAGATGACAGAACAAAAAAGCAACAAACAGTAGAAAAAAATGATGATTAGTATACTTACCTTTCATTAATCTATTCTCCTCAAGTCATCAGTAAAGAAGAGGAAAAAGGAGAGAAAGAAGAATAAGGAGAAAAGCACTAACTAGCCATGTTTATGTTGTTCCCTTTCAAAAAGTCAGATCTATCATCCACATGACAGGCAATCCTAGGACAATATCAAATGTTCTTTTTATGGTCTCCTAGATCTTGAAGTACTCTGAACTTCCTACCCATTACAATTTCATTAGCAAGTGAGGTCAAGAGAGGAAAAGAGGAAAGCAGTGTTTCCATTATGTTTCTCAGTTTTCTATAATAGTAAACTCAGAAAATAAGGACAAAATTCCATTTTAGAAGTAAAAAGGCAATAATACTTTACTCTGACACTTAAAGACATAACAAAATATGTTTCTATACAGCCTTCCAATTAAAGTATTCAGTAGATACTTTGTAAGTTTTCATATTCTAAAGAATTTTTGAAGGACTTTCAAAACCTACTTCATGAATTGTCCTGAAACAACTTATCAGCAATACACATCTGGAGAGAGAATGTATGTGGTATGTTTTAAGAAGCACAGAGAAAGTAAATGATCAATGTAAGGTCCTACAGAAAGGCTGTGGCACAGCTAGGCTGATATATAAACTTTAGGAATCACAGTATTGAGCTTCATCCACCAGATGACTTGCCTCATTAAGGTATACAGCTCTGATTCAAAGAAAGTGCTCATAAGATTTGTAGACATATATGCCCCCAAAATATGCTGAAGGGTCTGTCTTAAAATAATAATTCATTCATACCGTGGAAAGATGGTTCAATATGAACATATGTAATATGTACCAGAGGAAAAATACCTGTAATCTCTGTGTTTCTACAGCCTTCTTTAAAGATCGCAGGTGTTCTTCATTTTCCTGTATTAATGACTTTATCTGATTCTGTAGCATCATTAGTTCATGATCCTTCTGGCTGAATACTTCTTCATCCATGACTAAAGCCTGCTAGATAATAAAAGGAAAGTTCAGCTTGGAAAAAGGAAACGTTATTCTTGACACTGGAAAATGAAAAATATATACATATTCATTTTTTGTTCAAAGATGTAATTAGAACTGCAAAGTTTTGGTGTATGTATAGGAAATTTTCCAATCACAGGATCACAGAATGATTAAGGTTGGCAGAGACCTCTGGAGTCCATCTGGTCCAGCCTCTCTGCCCAAGCAGAGACTCCCAGAGAAGGGAGCCCAGGCCCACATTAAGGCAGTTTTTGAAGATCTCCAAGAAGATTCCACAATTTTCCTAAGCAACTTGTGCCAGTGCTCTGTCACCAGCACAGTACAGAAGTGCTTCCTGGTGTTCAGAGGGAATGTCCCATGCTCCAGTTTGTGCCCACTGCCTCTTGTCCTGGCATTAGGTACCACTGAAAGGAGCCTGGCACTATGTCCTTTCCATCTTTCTTTCAGCTATTTATGGACATTGATGAGAACCCCCTTCAGCCTCCTCCCTTCCAGGCTGAAAAGTCCCATCTCTATCAGCCTCTCTTCAGAGAAGAGGAAGGTGTTCCAGTCCCTTAATCATCTTAATCATCAATGGACTGCTTCCAGTAGCTCCATGTCTCTCAAGTACTAGTGGCCTCAGAATTGGACAGAATAGAAGAGAAAATGAATAGAACAGAAAAGTTCATTTGGAAGGGACCTTCAAAGACCTAGTCCAACTGCCTGACCACTACAGGGCTATCCAACAGTTTAAGCATATTACTGAGCGACTTATCCAAACACTTCCCAAACCCTTCCTCACAGGACATCAGCCATCTCTCTAGGAATCCTGTGATAGTGTTTAACCACCTTCACAGTACAGAAATGTTTCCTAATATCCAGACTGGGCCTCTCTTTCCACAGCTTTGTGCTGTTCCCACATCCTGCCATGGGTTCCCAGGAGCAGAACCTGGCACCTCCCCCTGTTTCCACTCCTCAAAGAGCTGCAAAGAGCCATGCAGTCACCTTCCGGCCTCTTCTTCTCTAGGCTGGACAATCCTCTACCCTCAGTTATCACAGGACATGTCTCCCAGCCCTGTTACCCACTGTGTTACCCTCTAGATACTTGCAAGGACCTTAACACCCTTGTTATATTAAGAGGCCCAGAACCACTTACAATATTCACAATGTGGCTGCATGAATGCTACACGTAGCAAGAGAATAACCACTTTTGACCGACTGGCTATGCTGTGTTTAATGCCTCCCACAATATGGCTTGCAACCACAACTAAACACAGTCCTCCAGACACAGCTCCATTAAGAAGGATCACTTGTTTCAACATGCTGGCAATGCAGGCAAGAATACCATTGGCTTTCTCAGCAACAAAGGCACACTGCTGGCTCATGTTCATAGGTTCCTTTTCTGCAGAACTGCTTTTCTGCACAACAGCTGTCAAGATCCCTCTGGTTAAGATACCATGGCCCTCTGGTGAAAAAGCTGCTCAGCTGTAGCATCTGTGTCTTCTACCAACTATTTCTTCACTTCTGTTCCGTATCCATTGATTTTCTTCAGACAAATTTCTTACAAATTTCTTTCTCCCAAGGAAATAATTACTTATTAATTTATTTAATAATTTATTAACATTATGACATCATATTTAAATCCAACTATTTTCTTCAGTGTCCTGTGAGATGTGGCAACAAAGTCTCAGCATCAATCAAAGATTAAAATGCTTCTTGAATGAAAAAATAAGGATGGCCTTCCTTATTTTTATATTCAGAAATCTGCCTACAGATTAAAGAAACTATCAGAATATTCCTTCAGGTGTTTTTATGAGAAAATAATTCAATATTGACTGAAAGAGAGTTGTAATGTAGTTAGTCCACGAGAAAACTTGCAGAAACTAAAGACAAAGTACGGACGCATCATATCTCACCATTCTAAAGCAGGATACATCTGCACAGCTAGCTTACCTACATCTTTCTTCCACAAAAAGAGAACTCTTTTTTTAAGAGCTTTTTAAGTGCCTTTTAAGTGCTTCTAAGAAAGCACTGAAGAACTGATGTCTCTTTAGGGGATAGAATTTTTTCCAAAATACCCGTACCAATACAAATATTTCTACTAAGCTCAGTTGACAAGTGTATCCTGTCTGACAATGGGGCTGTATCATTACTCAGAGCTGAGACAACTACAGAAGGAAAAAATAAAGGTAGTAGTAAAGAAGATTATACAGATGATGGTAAGAGTGGGACAGGATGAAATGATAGAAAAGTAAGCAGCTGTTGTAGTTTAACACTGGCAGAACCATGTGACTGCTCTTCTCTCGCCCTCCTCCAAAGGTTGGTGAGATAGAAAATGAAGTGGAGGAAAACTTGAACGGTTGCTTATTTGTTTGTTTTGTGTGTTTTATTGCTGTTTCTTTTTTTGTTTTGTTTTGTTTTGTTTTTTAAGATAGAAGCAGTTCAGTGAAAGAATAGGAAAGGCCACATGCAGAAGCAAAAAGAGAAAAAAAAATTCTCTACTTCCCATAATCAAGTACTCAGCCACCACTTGGAAAGCCAGGCCTTGATATGAAACAGCTCTAAAAGACAGATGCTTTCATAATGAGTTGCCCCTCTTTTCCTTCTACTCCAGTTCTACCCAGCTTTTAATGCTTATATGACATCGTAGGGTGTGGCATATCCCTTTTGTTGACTTAGATCAGCCCCTCCTCATCTCTTGCCCATCCGCAGCCTACTGGCCTTGGGCAAGGGGGGGAGTGGAAACAGTCTTGATGCACTGCTTAGCAAATAGCCAAAACATTGGTGCTGTTCAATGTTCAATGCTGTTATAGCTATAATCGCAAAGCACAGCACCAGAGGGGCTGCTGTGAGGAAAGTTAACTTCATCCCAGCCAAAGACAGCACAGTGGCATAACTGCCATTTATTCACTTCCTACCTTACACATTTGGCTGCCAGAAAGTAGTATATCTGCATGCCATATATGGCATTATGTAAAGTGCATGACAGTGACTTTAAACAAGAAAGGTGAATTCACTTACAGCCTTTGTCATGCCCAAACATTAAAAGTAATTTCTGGTGGAGAAAAACATCCCTGCATTCCAGGGCACAGCTGAGACTGCTGTCTACTGAGCTGCTGTCATCTCTGTGATAACATATTTAAGCAAGAGCAAAAAGATCAAGGAATAAAATGAAGTAAGAATGACCAGAAGAAACACCAGAGTCAGAGAAAGAGATGCTCCATGGCAGAGTTGATAACTAAACTATACTGCAACACAGGAAAACCCACGCTGGAGTCGGATATTCCTGGAGGAACTTTTGCCTGTGGAGAGCCCATGCACAAATCAGAAAGTGTGAAGAGGAGCAGCAGAGAAACACTGATATGTTGTACTGACCATAAACCTGTAAATTGTTCAGAAACACAGTAAACTAAAGGCATAATAATGAAACTGAAAAAGAGAAGTTCTAGTTAAGAAGATTGCTGAATGCCAGAAAAGATACTTGCAACTTCATAGAATCAGCTATACTAGTATACCACATACATAGCATCAAGCAGTATTAGATGTAAGTTACAAAATTTAGCCCAAGTGTTGTCTTCAAGTACACGGGTATTTGTCAAAATTTGTAATGCTTCTGATAGGCCCATTGATCAGCAATATTTAAACAATTTCTGGATTTACAGGACAACTAAAACTATCATAGCTAAAACCAAGAATTTAACAGATAAAAAGACCCAACTTCATAGAGTTATCTTAAAACCAATTAGCCAGAATATAGTATTACTTTATAGTATAAATCTATCAGGATGAAGATGATAGTCCATTCAATTATCCATTAAAATAAAACTGTGTTCCAGAGGATTAGATAAATAAATTAGGAATATATAGTCAAAATTAAATACAGGTTAGGTGTAATTAAGGTTTAACAGTTTTACACCTTTCAAAACTGAATTCAAGTTTTAGCAGACTTCTCATAGTTACCGAATGATCAGCATAAATACCTGGCATTTCTTGAGTTCCCGCTTTAGCTGAAGGACTGTGATATGATGAGGCTCGTGGCTGGTCCCAGTCCTGTTGTCAGCTTGCTGCATGGTGAGAGCTTCTTTCCTTACTTCTTGCACCATGGTGATCCAACTCTGCAACCTGTCCCGCTGACTTTTTTTTAAGCTAACATCATCATTCAAGTCAACCAGGAATGGGAAAGCTTCATCTATGCAGTTTTTATAACTGAAGCACTGAACTTGAAGCTGGGTGAGCTGCTCTTCTAGCGAACTGATTCGAATTCTTTCTTGATTTAAGTCATGTGAACACTGATTACTTACTTGCTGGTTCTGCAAAGCTTCTCGGAGCAATCTGATTTCAAGTTCCATTTCATCAATCCGGTCTTGATCAGGGTTGTAGTTTACAACTGGTTTATTTCTGATGTTTTTGGCCCTGTTGGCATATTTGAGTGAATTTAAAGATTCATCGAAGTCTGATGAGGATGGACTTATACATGTTATCATGACAGTCTTGGCATTACCTCCTAGCGAGTCTTTCAGAATACGAGTGATTTTAGCATCCCTGTATGGAATATGTACGCTTTTTCTTTTTGGGTCTCCAAGAGCACTGATGACATTTCCTAAGGCCAGCAAACCACTATTTATCTGAATTGATTCTTTGAACCGTTCACCAGTGTTTCCAGTCTTTGTCACTCTCTCTGATCCTGCCAAATCCACAAAATGGAACTTTGAAGCAATCATTCTGACCGACTTCCAAGATGGATTCTGTGGAACATCAGTATTTTTCTGAGATTCTGCAGATGGTTTCTGACAAATACTGATGGTAAAAATGGCGTGAGATCGACTAGAGTGCTCATTCATTTGTGTTGTGCCTGTGTGACGAGCTGCATTGCCACTTTCCAACAGGCTCATTACTTCATCAGCACATTCTACTTGGAATTCCTTAGCACCAACAATCACTTAAACACCAAACCGAAGAAAATAAGAATAATTAAATTATTTTCAGAAACAGTTCAAGGTAATCTATAAACACAAATCTAAGAAACGTACAAGCCTGCATTATAAGGTCACAGCACACAGCTAAAGAAAATAGCACATGGTAACCATGAAGTATAGCACATCTGAAGCCCACACGAATTTGTAGTGTGGGTTATTGCCTCATAGCATTTGTAACAGTATCCTAAGCAGCACACACACCTCTAGCACTTACATGTAGACATATGCAATTTGAAGTGAGCAAACTCACTCACTTTGTGAGTTAAAAAGGACAGATAAAAGTTCTTAGTAGAAATGATCCCCAGCCTGTGTTAGGAGCAGCATTTCCATTCTGTATAGATCAGGTAGCTAGGCCTTTCAGAGAAGTATCTACTGTTTGAGTAACCTTATAATGTAGAAGTGGTAATACATGTTCCTACCAACTTATTTTTTACTCCTTTGTTTTAGTAAAGGATGGAAAATACCATAGCAGGTACACGATCAACTAAGGCTGACTCAAACAGTCCTGATGCAGTAGTTTAAATACTACTATGCTTAAATACTACAACAGTATCACACTTATATATATATGAAGCATATATATATATGAAGCAATGATACTGTTCGCAGACTAAGCTTTGTACTAACTGCATTTGCATGTAGTGCCTTTTTCCAGCTACAGAGAAGAAAGCCATACTAGCTCAAAGCAACAATAATAATAATACTGTAAAGAATACAAAAATGAAAATATGAAGAATAAAGGAAAAAAAAAACAAAAAACAACCAAATTACGCAATTTCAGAATAAAAAAACTCTGTACTGGATTTTTCTAGCATCTTCCTGCAGAGACATGAGGACTATGGGATGTTAATTTCAGAGCTCCTAAAACTATCAGATGATACCATTCTTTGTCCCACTCATTTCAGAGTGAAATGGATGCTGATATTTACAGTATAAGTAGCTTACCAGATATAACCTTAAAGTGAGAAGGCTTCATGTAAAAATATTTATTCAACTGAATAAGCAGGTACCACTGTGTTTCTAGGCAAAATTTGCAGAAGCAGTGACTGTGTTTCTACCATAGCACCTCATGCTATTTCTCTCTTTTCAAGACAGACTGAATAATTTGGGCACACAACTGAAACCATGTGTATCAAATTTTAGATCCAAAATCCTACCTGTATTCCCCTTTTCATCTTCTCGGATATGCAGATCTTTCACAGAGGTCTCCAACTCCAATAAATCACGAAGTTCTTCCTTGTAGACCTCTATATAAGATACTTTCACATGGAAGTCAATGTTATGGTTTTCAGAAATATGCTGAAATAATTCCTGAATAGCCCGTGGGATTATGCCCTGTTCATCCTCTGCAATTGAGGCTAAAATACAAAGAAAGATGTCACAGACACTTGTAGTCATTCTGTTGCATAAATTACAAAGGCTGAAGTTAATGAAAAGTCTGTGATATTTACTGCTTGATGGACTAAGTAATCTGAAGAGCTCAGTGTTCTCTAGGATTTATGAAAATACTTGCTTTTCTGTTGATCAGAATATTTGTTTTAATCCATTAATAGGACTTAAACTTAAGTTCTAAACTAGTACAGAAACTTCAGTCCAGAGAAGTCTACAGGGAGGCCTTATAGCAGCTTTCCAATACTCAAAGGGAGCCTAGAAGAAAAACGGGGAGGAATGCTCTCAGGGGGTATAGTGGTAGGACAAGGGGCAATGGTTTTAAATTAAAATAAGAGAGGTTTAGGTCAGATGTTAGGAGGAAATTCTTTACACACAGTGCGGTGAGGCACTGGCACAGGCTGCCCAGAAAAGCTGTGGGTGCCCCATCCCTGGAGATGCTAGGGCCAAGTGGGAAGGTGCTCTGGGCAGCCTGATCTGGCGGGTGGCAGCTCTGTCCATGGCAAGGAGTTGATACTAGATAGGCTTTATTGTCCCTTCCAAGTCAAACCATCCTGTGATTCTATGAATTCATTCTGTGAAACTTAAATGTGAAATTATTACCTTTGCCAGATTCTCAAAAGAAGTCAATAGAGGACAAAAAGTTAAAAGTATCGAGAATTTCTAAAACACTGCATGTAGTCATAGATTTCAGAAAGGAGTTACAGTTTAAGTTGCATGTTAAAATGCAAAATAAATACATAAATAAATAAATAAAAACCCAAATAGTTTTTTTCTCCAATACTTTTCTTACTGCTTAATGTATGCAGAATTTGTGTTTAGAACATTTTAAGTGTTTCATACACTTTGGATATTTTTGTGTTTTCTTTTTTTTTTCTATTATACTGATTTTCACGACCCCTTCATTCTCCAGTTCCATCCGCTATGCATTAATTACTTAATTTGTACAAGTGCATTGTACACAAGTAAAAAAAAAGAAACACAACAAGACCTATGACGTACCAATGTGACCACCTCCAATGGTGTAAGTTTTCCCAGAGCCTGTCTGTCCATATGCAAATACTGTAGCATTGTATCCCTCTGTTAAAGACAGTAGAAGAGGCTTAATGCAAACTGTATAAACTTCTTCTTGGGTTGAGTTTTTGCCAAATACATAATCAAAAGTGAAGGCACGGTCTTTTCCAATGATGATTTGTTGTGTATTTGGAACTAATCTCACACACACTTGGTGGTTATGAAGTACTTCCTTGGAAAGCAGAGGTCGGATCCTTACTGCAACTTTAACCGGGATTTCCTCCATGCCAGCCTCCATTTCTGTGCTCCCCACTTGGTATTCACATAGTCACTGCAAATGTTACAGTTTGTGTGCTCATCTCATCCACTGTTTTCTGCAACTAAAAAAAATGTTATCTGAGTTATTTAATAAATAAGAATTAATTCCCTGCTGAGGTAGAAGGTTAGAGTTTCCTAATGAATACAAAGCGTCTCTAAATGCTGAAAAGTAACTGTAATAGAAAAGCAACAATATTAATAACTTTTAAATGATTTCATGAATTAATTTTGTTACCATTAGTTTCTGAGCAGACTTAAGCCTGAAAGTTGCCTGACTTTCTCCATGAACTCAATAAAGCCAAATGAAGAAACAATATTGCAAGGCCTTATTCACAAACTTTGATAAGGCACATCCTTATCAGGAATCTCACTTTCCTACTGCTACATTCCTGCTGCATAGGCAACAGAAACTAGTCAAACAAACCCTTTTTCTCCTGTTATATGTATATACATATATACACCTTAGATGCCTCTTCCACTTCAGAAGGACCATACATTTATAACCTGAAAAATGCAGAGCAGGCTGTTGTGCTGCCTGCAAGGCAGAGATGGTTTCACACATAGCCAATTGCTACATGCAAAGCATTCATCTGATTTAATCTGCCTCTTTATGCCTATACGTAATTAACTTCTATTAATGACATATTTTAGCATGCGTGCTTCCTGATACTGTCCCCTGCTCACTCATTCTTAACACATGAGCACTGCAGAGCAGCACAAAGAAAAGCATCAACGAACAGCATTTCCTTAAAGCTGCCTGTTGGGAATTGCTGGATCCTCAGCACAGCTTTTGGTTCAAGCCAGTTCTCAGCAGCTTTATGGGTGAGGGAAACTTGCAGAGCTCCTGCCTAGCAGGATTCATCTGCTAAGCACATGGAACTCAGGTTTCCTGATATATTTACGAGTGAGTTTTAGAGACGTGGTCTTTTGTGTTTGCAAAAGGAGGAGCTTTTGCACCTCACTCAGTCTTATTTAGTTTGGAGCTGCGGAACTCTATCTGGGAGCTGAAGAAAAGCCCCATTTTGTTCATCTGAGCAGCTGGAAGTCAAACAGGCAAAGCTGGGGTTGGAACCGTCCTCACATCACAAAGGACAGGGCAACCAGGAGTGCCTGTATGACTTAAAGCACACAGAGCCAAGCCACATATTGGCCTACGTCTGCTTTTAATTATCTGGGGGCCTGCTTTTTATCAACGGCACAAAGCTGCCAATCCCCCCTTTGAAGTTATTCCAAATAAATAAATAAATAAAAGAGGTCACTGCAGGACAGAGAAGGAGAGAGCCAGTCACCCGATGCACCGCCGCCTAACAACGGGCGAACATCGGAAGGCGCCGCACCGCACGTCGAACCACGGAACGCCGCGGTGCCGGGAAGCAGCGGGCGGGCAGCGCTGTGGCAGCGGCCCAGCCTCTTTCCAAACCTGCTGAGCTCGGGACCGGCCGCTTCCAGGAGCTCTCACTAACGAAGAACCGCGCAGCCCGGCGATACCGCCAAGCGCAGGAGAAGAAAGGGCGGAGGGCGGCGCGGCCGGGAGGCGGAGACGGCCCGCCAACTCCCGTCGCGGCCGCCGCGCCCGCGCTGCCCGCTGTTGACAGCGCCTCGCTAGGCAACGGCAGCAACGTCCGGCGGCGGCCCCGCGGCACCGCCCCGCAGCGCGCAGCGCCCCCTTGCGGCGGGAGGCGCGGCGGCCCCGCGGCTCCCCGGAAGGACGAAGGCGGCGCCTGCTTACGCTCTGCGCGCTTTATTACAAGAGTTGCGCTGACCGCTTAATAGTAAAGCTTAGGAGCGTAAAGCGGGCTCTCCCCGAATAGAAGGAAGGACAGGTCACTTCAGTGCGGTAAGGTACATGCTGGCACGGCATCGCTGCCATCCTAGGGCTGCATACACACCCATGTGCGCATACGGGGCTGCTCCAAAAGCAATGCATCCTGTTTTATTACATTGGCTTGCGCTGTCAGAAGTGAATGCTGGTGGTACGAGAGTGGAGGTTGAACCTTCCCCCGGCATTCTGTTACACTCTGCTGGTCTGCAACAGACAGGAGCAGAGGGGCAGTCTGACAGAGTGGTGTCTGACATGGAAGTGTGCGGTAAGCGAAGGGATGGAAATGAATTCCTCCATGCAGAAAAAGTGGCACCCACTGACATTCCAACACTTGCTGAGCATTTCTGGAGATCAAACTGTGAACATGGGCACAGTGAGGTGGCAGGTGGTGCGTTCCAGCAGCAGAAACAGTGCCAGTGAGCCACCTCCCCTGCTGCAGATTTTTACAGGCATGCCATGCTGACTCTTGTTCACTGCTGGCAAAAATGTATAGCTAGCTACCTGTGGCCACTTTCTGTTGAGGAGAATTTGCTCTGTCAAACAGTGTCGTTGAGTTCTTTGTACCTGCTGTAGTTTTCATGGAAATAAACAGGAGACATTACTTCCAGAGCAACCTACACACGTACATATACATGACCATATGTATGCAAATATATGTATAAACCCATACACAAAATCAAGAGTAATAAAATCTGTATCGCTGCAAATCTACACATTTTCCAGCAGTTTTATATTATTAACTCCAATCTTAATCAGTACGTGACTCAAAGAAATCAACAAATTATTCATACATCATCAGAAAGCGTCTGTTTGATTTAGCAAGTTCCAAACTAGTACATGACGAATCACTGTATGAAAAAAGGAACTGTAACTGACAGGGAAACACAACAATACAGTAGCTATCCTGCTGGACTTAGTAATATATACACCGTACTCGGTGAAATGGAACATCTTTCATATCTTCCCTGTGATCCCTGGCATAGTCCCAGAGATAGTAATCAAGTAAAACTGCGTTGATCTGATCACGCATGTCTTGACCCTTCTTCTCATAGAGCTCCAGCAAGTGTTTACAGATCAGTGTGCAGCACCAAATCGAACAACCACGGATCTCCACCTCCTCTCTGTCTCCAGACTTGAAAACAGTTCCTGCAGGACAAGAGACAGCAACTCAGTTATGTTCAGGAGACAGAATCCCCAGACGTCCAGGATTCCCTCTTTTTGTTTCACATTTAAGCTATTCCAGGACCAATTTCCACCCCTTATACTGTAACTATGTTACTGTACGTTTTCTGTGGATTACTTTAACATTACTGTAAATATTTGTTAAGTTCGCCTCCCTTTCAACTAAGAAGCCATCCTGTATTCTAAAAGACTGAGCCTGGGGTAAGAACAGGTGGCTGGGCTATACATATATGACTACTTCATTTCTGGTGTCAAAAAGGATGCTCAAACATAATTCCAATTGGGTATTTTCTGCAAGGGGTAGGTAATTCTACTCTTCACTAAGATCAAAGATCAAGCAGATCACAACACTCTACGATACATTTACCATCACAGAACCATTTATCTTTTCCATGAATCTTGGTATGGTCATTTCCATCACAGCCATTCAAACATATGGGTCATTTGTCTATTTTGCTGGGCAACTTGAAAATCACTAACAGTAGTCCTACCTATAAACAAAGTAATTGTGCAGTGCGAAAAGGACTGGTTTATGTTTTCATTCATTCAAACTCCTAGTTAATAAGTACTGTAAGATGGAACCAGACCTGTGCAGTTCTCTTCTTTAAAAGCAATGGCATGTTTTCTTAAAGTGGGTGTTTATCTTACTACCTTGTTTGTCAGTACTCAACCAGACTTGCTATTTGAAGAGCAACAAACAAGAATCCCCATGCTTTTCCACGTTCTTTGAACTAATGAGGAAATCATTGATTCTACTATCTAAATCTCAAAATCACAACCACAATCATGCTAGAAAATGCTGCTGTCAACAGTGCCAGTTCTGAAACTCTGCAATCAACCCTTAAGAGTCTCTTCATCCATACTTTGCCAGAGATTAATCCTAGGAACAGACAGATTAAAAACATAAGAGTAGTTTACAATAGTAAGGAAGGAACAAACCTTCACGTAGCTTTTTCATTAGATCTTCAGAATATTTCATGGCTTTTAAATGAACAAGAACTTGAGGAATTCTGTAATCAGCAAAGATGGTCAGGCTAGAAATGTCTCCAAAAAAGCCATCTCCCTTGCCTTCCAATACACTCCATGTATCAGCCACAAGTATTTGTGCACGTTTGTAGAAAGACACCTTCTTTTTCTGATGAAAAAAATTCAGATAATTTAAGTGTTAGGGACGCTTAGAAAATGAAAACAGAAGAAGACAGGTAAGTTATGCTGCTCTAGAACACACAACAGGAGATATATCTTACTAAGCAAATGTTAATTAAAACAATAAATAAAAGCGTAACACTAAAAGTACCTTAAAATTTAAATACTGAACTGCACACAGGTGCAATCCTCATTAAAAACAGCAGTGAAATAAAAAATTATTTATATATTAAAAAAATGCTCAGATAACAGAAAACATTAATGCTGGTTTACTTCTATTTCACAAACAGCAGTCAAAGTCCTGCAAACACTTTTTCTGAAGCCCTAAAGCTCATAGAACATCCTAGCTAAGTAGCATGTATCAAACAGGTAACACATTTCATGAACTTCTTTAAGAAAACTTAATTTTAAGGAAAAAGAATTTTGCTGAAAACTGTAGCACATGATTCTCAGTGTTGCCTAGTGTATCTTGCTTACTGAAGAGGACAGAAAAGAAAATAATTTCAGTAATTCTGGTATTCACAAGTATAAGGTTTTCTTAAACACTGCCTGGGTCTATTACTGTTACATTCTTTTTTGTGCTAGTGTAAACCCTGCAAAAATTTTCATACTTTTTTGACTATTCACAAGAGAAAAAAAACTAACAGTGTGCTAAAATCTGTATGGAGTTGAAGTTTATTTTATGACAAACATAATGTGAAACTTCAGGAAAAAAAAATTCTAATAGTTTTTTTTTTTTTTCCTTCATTTTATAGACCGAATTTTCAACCTTTGAGATATGCTTAACAATGTGAAGTAACTGAAATAGTTAAGCAAAAATATAGATGGGGATTTTACTTACTTGAAGTTCTGTTCTAGCGCTCTTCATATAGCCACAGCTTATAAGTGACTTTTTAAAAGAGTATTTCATTTTATATTACTGCTCAGATTTTACATACCATTCCTCTTGCCATTAAATGCTACTGTACAGAAACACTGAAAACAAGATCTCCAACAACATTTGACAGAACACCTTCTGCAAATATTCTGAAAACAAACTTTCTCTGCACTTCATTCCCCACTTGACACATATGCACACGTTTCCTTCTAGAGAATTATATATTTCCTCTATTAAATAATGAAATACTGCTCAAAACTCTCTAGGGCAAATAAATAAAATAATAGTAGACCAAATTCCATCACAGCTCCCAGTATCCTGAAGCTAATGAAAACCAAGGTCATCGCTTTTTTAGTAGTGTTAGATTTTTCCAATGTACTAAGCAACAGCACCACATCATTTTACAAGAGCAATATGGAAGAGAGACTTTAAATTGAACTTTCTGTCTCATGCTGCAGTTTAGCTTGGAAGAAAAATACTGTCTGAGACTTCTTATGGATTTATAATTTCATTGTTTTCTATATGGAAAAGACAATCGAGCTTTTATAGTAAGTTTTCCTACTGTTCTTTTTAACAGAGAAAAAAAAAAGCACTGGATGAATGGTACTACCTCTCAAAGACAGTGTAATTTCACCAAAAACTGAATATTATACTTGATGGTGACAAACCTACACTTATTTTCCACAACTTTTCTGCCCTTACATTCTAAGAAAAGCTACCACATTCTCTCATTCACTGCTCTACTACCTTCACAACCTGATACTTCAAGAAGTATCAGGAGACAGAGCTAATTCAGGCCTACGGATATTAAAAGAAAGAAGGGATACTGTGTTGGCAAATATATAAATGTGATAGCACAGCTAGGAAGAAAAGCAGAGAATAGGAAGAGCAAACAAATCTAACCACCTCTGTAAAAAATGATGGGAAACAAAAAAGGGCAGTATTGATGACTGGAAGCTTCGAGGACTCAAATGTATGAAAATCCCGATGCACAATTTCGATTTTAAAGTTCTGCTAGTATTTAAAGTCAGCACAATGTCTAAATACGAAATATCCATACTAGGACAAAAAGATTTCAGGGGCTTTGGTTTGCACTTCTCTGCACTGAAGCAAAAGAACATAGGCAATATGTAATGACATTCAATAATGTGTAACTGTGACAAATTTTTAGCATACAATTTTCGTAAGACATGCAGCCAACAAATTGTCTTTATTTTACACGTTCCTCCAGGAGGTCAGATCATAGGAGAGCTGTGGCAGTCTGTGATAGTACGATTTATTGCAGTACAGAATTTATTCTCATACACGTTTCTATTGCAGAGAGTAAGTGAAAAACACCAGTATGTTGTCAGATACCTACGTCTAGTTCTCTTTTTAATGAAGGCAAATCTTTACTTCTGAGATCTGAACTGGATGCACAGAAATGGCGTTGATAATACAATCCATGTTACCTCATATTATGTTTTCTTAAAAAATATATTTCAGTACAAATAAGGTGTAAGCCTCATCTGCACTATTTCACCCACCTTCAAAACACACAGCTTGCTTACTGAAAGTAGAAAAACATCTATTGTGTTTGTGCAATAGACTTCACTACTACGTCAATGCTTATGGGCTAGGATCATTTTTGGAACAGCTTTTCATTCTGTAGTCTGCTGCTGCTTTTAGAGAGCCTTGCTTTATAAAGCACTTAGCACCATCTCATGAAAGACATTACGTCAGTGAATAGTCACTACAAAGAAAGAAAATACTCTATCACTTCAAAAATGCCTCCTTTTTTGATCACAAAAGTCATCACAAAATGACCTCATATGTAAAAATCTCAATAAATTAAACCAGTAACATCACTGATAACTTACAGAGAATCTCTGATTTTTCAAGCTAATATGGTATCTTCATAGTAGAAGACAAAGAAGTAAAAAATGATGCCGCCTACTCAACATCACAGGTAAGTGAAAAATGCAGTTGGTTCAGAGGCACAATGAACACTGCTGCAGGGCACTACTTCCAAAGGCCTGTACAAGCTATTACTTAGCACAGTCTGCACTGCAAATAGAGTAAGGTGTTCTGGTGATGTAATGTCTGAATAGTACTGCAGATGGAACAGAGGACAGGAGCAGCTACATGTCACCGAGGCTTAAAAAAAAAAAGTGCTTAAAAAAATTAGGGACAACTGGAGACACTAAACACACTCTATTTACTTCCCATCTTTCAGAGAAACTGCTGCAAAAAGCTTATGTACTGTGTCAACTCTGACATAAGTGGTGTGACATTTAGGCTTAATACTGGCCTACAGCCATTCCTGCAAAGTCTACTGAACTAACAGCAGTTACAGATTCCTGGTAGTCAGTTGTACATTTTCATAATACTGCTGGAGTCACCAGTTTCTTCCATTAGATGCAAAGATCCTCATGGTAAATAAAGAAAAAGAGAGAGAGAGAGAGAGAGAGGGGTACAAACTTAAGGAAAAAAAGACAAGAAAAACAAAGATTCTGATTTGTTAGGCAAAAATTATGTTATGCATTTATAAAACATAAAATAGAATTGTACTCAAACTTGGAGTACATCAAAATAGATTACAACAGAGTGAAGAATACAGACAGCCCACAAAAAACAAAAAACAAAAACAAAACAAAAAACAAACAACAAACCAAACAAACCTGGTTCTCCACTAGAAAAAGAAAACAAACAAACAAACAAAAAAAACACCCTATAATTATCACTAGATAAATGTGCCTGGCCAATTCAGTACTTCAGATGATGGAGATTCCTTTGCTGTTAATAAATGGTGTGATTTTGTTTTCAGAGGTTTAGACTGATAGAGAAATGGAATCTCAATACCTTTACCCTATCTTTAGAAAAAGAAATACTTTGGCCCAAGAGTATTTCAAAATCTATCTTCCCCATCTGTATTACTCATAACAACTTACATAATTAGATAATCTGCTTCAAAGTTCATTATACAGACTAATCCCTTTACTGATTTGAAGTGGAATACTGAAATTATGCTATATTTCCCTTCTACTTCCCTTGAATTTTACTTCTGAATGTCACAGAAATCATTATAGAATCACAGGATACCTGAAGCTGGAAAAGACCTTAAAGATCATTGAGTCCAACTACATCCTAACCATACCACCCTAACTCTAACAACCCTCTGCTAAATCATGTCCCTGAGCACCACATCCAAATGGTTTTTAAACACATCCAGGAATGGTGACTCAACCACCTCCCTGGGGAGCCTATTCCAGTGCTTAACAACCCTTTCTGTAATGAAGTTCTTCCTGATATCCAATCTAAATTTACCCTGGTGCAACTTGAGGCCACTTACCCTCTTCCTGTCACTGGTGAGAAGAGACCAACCCTGCTCTTTACTGTCAATACAATCACTCAGGTATTTGAAGAGAACAATAATGTCTGCCCTTCCCCTGACTAAACAGCCCCAGTTCCTTCAGTCTTTCTTCATAGGGCATATTCTCCAAGCCCTTCACAAGCCTTACTTGGACCTAATGTTCAGTTTCTCTTTTTCTGTACTAGAAGCTGTGATAAATACACAAATTTTACACCAATTCTGAACTGTCACTCCAAATAAATAAATAAATAGATAAACCACTACCTATGTTTTAAAGCCACAATCAGGAATAAGTTCAAATAAGTTCATACCATAAAAAATTCAGTGCCCCGACTAACTTACCTCAAAAACAGCTTCATCTCTGTAAGAAGGAAAGTTTTCCACCACAAGACGTAGTAGTTTCTGAGCGCTGTTCTCACTCATTTTAACACAGGTGAGGAAAGAGCCTCCAAACTTCTCCAACAGAACCGTCCCGCTTTCATTCAGCACCCGGTGCCTCTCTTCAAGCAGAGGCATGGGCACCTCTGTGTCGGAGCGGAACACCTGTCTGACCTGGTCCAGCGTCATGGTGGCATAGTACGAGGCACTGGTAATGGGTATTCCTTCAGAAGAGCAAAAACAAGGTGTCAGGCTGCCACATTACACCCGGAGACCTTACGCACAGACCCACTGCCAAGGTAAGACTCAGACAGCGCGGACTCCCCTTCGTCCCGCGGCAGCCGCCCGCCCACGGACCGCCCCGCCCGCACTGACCGTCGTCCAGCGCGCGGTTGACGGCGGCGCAGAGCGCCCAGTAGCCGCTGTACGCCTTGCCCTTGTAGCGCACCAGGCACTTCTGCTCGGCGCCGTCGGACCAGAAGGAGAAGTTGAGCGTGTCCACCAGGAACACCCAGTTCACCGCCTCCTCGCTGGCGGCCCGCGGGTTCAGCTCGTGCAGCGCCTTCCATCCCGACAGGCCGAACGCCGCCTCCGACGCTTTATCGAACAGCGACTCGGCCACTTTTCTCGCCCCCTCCTCGTCCACCGACACGTCTCGGCTGCGGCCCGCGATGAACCGGGCGGACTCCAGCGGGGACGGGAGCGCCTCCATGCCGCCGCCTGCCCGCGATTAGGGAAGCGAGCGCTTTCCGACCGCCACGCCCCGGCGGGCCCCACCTCGGGCGCTGCCGGCCCTCCGGCGGCGGAGCGCCGCTTCCCGCCTCACGCTGCGCAGGCGCGAGGGGGCAGCGCGGGCTGGGGCCGCCCCCAGGCGGGCGAGCGGGCCGCGGCGGAGCGGAGTTACGGCCGCGTCGCTGAACGCTCGCACGAGCAAGTGGGAGCGACGCACGTCCCGCTTCCTTCGCCCTTAGTGATCGGAAGGCCAGCCTCGTTTCCTGGACACGAAGCAGCTCCGTACCAAGGCCGGGCCCGCGAACCCTCCCGTCCTACCAAGGCAGGAATTACACCCCGATGAAAAACAAACAAACAAACAGCTAGGAAAGCAAAGCGTCCTACCTGCAGCTGAAGGGAAACAAAGAATCCACTCATACGTATATGCAAATCGGTTTGCAGTTTTTAATTTATTTTTGTTATTTATTTAGGAAGTGAAATTTAGACTCATAAACTATAAATACAAAGGTATTACACATGAGATATTCAGGAGGCTTTTTTTTTCTTTTTCTTTCTTTTTTTTTTTATTTCTCACATATTTTCTATGGCATTAAACATACAGCAGGGAAACCCAACAAGGTTAAGATTTGTATACAACAAAAACAAGTTACAGAGTTATATACTGCCGCTTTGCCAATTCATGTCTACCTCATACAAATGAAAGCTCTGAGAACAGCTAACCAACTGCCATTTCTAAGTGTTACTTGCATTAAGCGAGCTGTCTAGAACCAGTGTGCTTCACCACTGCTTACTCAGTGACATCACAATGTTCTTAAATATTTTATTTATATACTGTCACCAATATATAGAGGTACTGCAAAGAGGGCCAAACACTTGCAGAAAGTCATTTTACACTAAGTTCACATGAACATTTTTGCATTTTATCCCCAAGTAGCAAAGCTGAGCCATTGCTTCACACAGTCTCATCTTTAAAAAAATCCCACATAGCTCCATCTATATCAAAGAAGCATAAAAGCAAGCTTAACAGCAAATTTCACTTATGCATTTTCTTGTGGGAGGAAATAAAAGGGTGTATTGATTTTAGGTATTACCTTTTTTATATCTAAAGAGAGATGACCACCGAGAATAGATTCACTAAATTTATTGAAAAATCAAAAATGTTTCTTACAAAAGAGCATTACATTCTGCACACTGCTCTCAGAGGATGCCAAGGACACGTGGACTACCAGTATTCTCCCCCTTCAAAAGGTACAGTGTACATAAAAGCAGGGTGTTCACAACAGTTACAAAGAAACATTACAATTTACCACCAACAGTGAACAAAAATGATATTCACTCTCTCTGCTGTTTCAAAATTTCAATGTTAGTCTCGCGCGCCCTTTCCCTCCCCCAAAATATTTGTAAGGAACTAAAACATTACATCTGGTGGACAGCAAAGATTCCACTACACCTCAAATGCAGAACACCTATGAAGCAGAGGAATGTTGGCTTTTTAAACAGAAGCAGATAAAAAAAAAAAAAGGTTGCAGGACTCCTTCAGTTCTTCACTAGTCTTAGAAAAACTTTCCAGAATACTGCTTCACACTATAAAAAAGAAAAAATAATCTTGCATTAGAATCCTTCAACATCTGCATACTGCTTCACACTATAAAAGAAAAAGAAAAAAGCATGTATTAGAATGATTGACCATACATCTTGCATCAACATTAACAATGACATTCTTAGAACAGATTACATTTCAAGAACTTGTAATACATTAAAAAATAGTTACAAAAGATTAACTGCTAGTAATTATATATAGATGTACACAGACATATATGAATATTTTAGGCACACTTAGGAATTAGTGATCTGAAGCTGAACACTTAAGTTAAACATTAAAATCTACTATGATAGCTAACATGTTAATAAAGCGAAACTTAGCAAATTATATCTGAAGCTGTTATTTGCATTTGGCAGAAACGACAAAGTAACACTAGCAAGGTGTGAAATGCTGCTTGACAGCACCAAATTGTCCTGATTTCAACTTGTCCTGTAGAGGCATGATCTGTGCCATATGGCAGACTGTGATTTGTTGTCAATTTAATTATCTAAAAACAACAAAATCACTAGTCTTCCACACAGAACAAGACCAACATCCACTGAAATCTTCTACATTTTCTACAGGCTCTATGTAATTTATTACAAGTAGTTTGTTTGGTTTTTTTTTTTTGTTTGTTTTGCAGCAGTTTTCACCAGAGAAATGAGAGGACTGCTTGGTTAAGGTGTCTTCCAGCAAATTAGTTTTAAGGATGTCTTCATTTTAGTTAGAATGGAAAACAGAGGAGAATCAAGGCAGAACTACCACTGGAGAAGTTAGGTTCAAATGGTTACTGAAAACCTGCCTCCCAAGAACCTCTATTACAAAGAAGAAACTTAGAATGTACCAGGAAAAAACAAAATCAATTTAAAACTCACAGTGAGAACAACATTAAACTTCAACTTGCCTGTTTTGCAGTAAATATTGTGCATTTTGTATCTGGTCCTGTGTTCCCGTAATAGTTATAATCCGATCTTCTGAGCCTTCTAGTGGTTCATCAATTTTGATTGAAGCTCCAGACTCATGCCGTATTTGTTTGATTCTCTGGCCTCCCTTTCCAATAATAGATCCTGCCAGCTGAGGAAGAAAGCAAAGCGTTCATTTACTGATGTATCTTGACATAACAACTATTAGAAAAATCCGAGCAGTGTTTGTGCATGAGTTTAATTTTAAGAGCTGCAATGGCAGCTTCCTTCTTTGTAGTCTCAAAACATT